CGTTCATGCCTGTGTGCCCGAAGAAATTGATCTTGGTCTGCTCCCAGGTGTCACAGAGATGGTGCCAGGGCGGCGCCCTCACTGTAATCACTCGATCGAAGAGTCCCTTGCTTTGATCGACTGCAGTGGATGGTGGGTGTTAAATTGGGACCCGTGCCCCAGAGTGTCTCGGTGCGGAGTTCTTAGCGAACTCCTCAAATCAGGGTTTCTGCGAATTTCGAAGAAGTCCTCCGCTCCTGTGCTTAAAGGCATTCTGAATCGAAGGGATGTGCTGCGCGTCAGAAGCAGCAATGCATGGTCCTTTCTTGCTTTCGACACACCGGGAGCCGACTCTTCCCTGACCATCGCTCATTGAAAAGCTCCAGACGCCAAATTTCATCCTGCCCATCCCTTCCTGCTCAAGCAAATCGTATAACTACAAGGTACGCAAGGAACGCAAGGTGTCACTGCACCGATCAAAGGGTCCTACCAGGCCTGCCACCCCAAGGCCAAGCCAGCCCTGCGCAACACTAAGCAGAGCATTCCAAGAGAGGTTGGGTCATTCTGCGAGGCACGCCCTGAGTGGAGCAGTTGTCTTGCCTTTCGTAGGCCAAGGCATCAGCATCGAAATGAAGAGCCTCAGTGTGTGTAAGTGCTACATCGCATGAACTGCATGCGACCTCTAGCAAACAGGCCGGTGATTTCGGAAGCTTCTTTCTCGACATGTGTAGACGCTCTTCTTCCGTGACAATGCGTGATATACTGCGTGCATGCTGGCAGCATGGAGTCCTACCAGTGCTGTCAATCGAGGTTGGACAGCAGGCTATGCGGGATGCTGTCAAATTGTGGGTCCTCGATCTCCGAACAGCGATACCGTTGTGCTCCGATATACGAGGATGTTCCATATCTTGCGAAAGTTCTAGACCCGATTATGACCGACGCTCATATGGGCTGATACAGAAGGCTTTGCTTAGGTGCAGTGAGGTGGATGGAGCCCTTTTGCGTTCCTTATGCATAAAGACATTCAGAGGTATCCAAGCCAAGCATCGACACCTTGGCTAGATCCAAAACTGATGAGATTTGATTTGGCTTGTTGAACGTATTTCAGTAGAGCTCCAGCGGCTGAGGGGAAGCAGCTTTACGTGGAATCGGCAAGGCGTTTTTTGGAGTGGCAGCGTGCCAACAACAGGGATACTCGTACCTCTTTCGCTAGACCATGACCTAGTGTCGCCATGCATCAAATGCCTGAGATGCGAAAGTGGATGGTGTTATCCCGAGCAGGCCCCCTCAGGCGGATATCCAGTAGTGTCTCGGTACCTTATAGCCCCTATATAACCTTATATATTCCCTGTAGCCCTCTGTAAAGGTACCCGAATATTGCCAAACCTGGGGCCCAAGCCAAAGTACAAGCTGACTGCGGACCCGTAAAGCATCCGATCCAGATCCCTCTTTTGGCCCCGCTTGCGCCTGTCCGTAAGGCGGAGTAGATGCCAAAAATCCGATAGGACCGGCTAGCCAACTATACCTTCAAGATTCGTCAATGATCATTGCTGCACAAATTTGAGGAATTTCGCAATTGTTCTTTAACAGAATCTTGTTTCTGGCAAGCCGCCTTGGCTGATACACAAGGCCGCTTGTGCAGCTCTCCGAATCCAAAGCCTAGGAACGCAGTATGCAGACGGCCCATATGACAACATCAGTTTCTCGTTGCGCTGCCAGAGCGCCTGACATGCCTCACCGCGATCTTGGCTGTGCCCTCGGAGGAGAGCTCAACAGTTCGCAGCTGCTGACATTCAGCAAAAGGTGTGTGAACTTGCTTGTCACGAGAGCTTGAACCCAGCCTTAAATCATGATGATCTGTTTTTTGCCTCACGTTGCAGCCGAGTTCATTGATCCCATGACAGCCTGAAAGCCGTGGGCACCAGGAGGGTCTGCACTTTGAGGCTTTGGGATCTGTGCTTAAAGGTGCCAAGAGCGGCAAGATGTGTGCTAACATCTATGCTTGTGTAGGCACGCTGAGCACTCAGGCTGGCCTGGGAGTTGTAGTCCCAGCCCAGATCCCAAAGGCAAAGAGCATGACTTACTTCGCGGAAACTGCTCGGAAACCGGCCTTGTCAACTGCATCTATATTGCCAGCCCGTTCAGCTTCGGGTTTCGGACACGGGCATTGTGTGCATAGTAGTCGATGACATACCAGCCTCGCACCAAGAACCATAGCACGTTGTGAGAATTCACAACGAGGGCTGCTGCTTTCTAGTTTATGTTTTCCTCTGTGCTGCGGTCTCGCGGATTTCCATTTTGCATGGTATGACTTCTGGAGTTTGGCATTCTGACCAGCAGCGACACTGCCTAGCACATCCTGCTTAAGGGTGAGCCTGCAAGTGATTGCTCCACCTTCTCTCGTGAGCACCGTAGACAGCCTCCCACAAGAAGGCCATCTCTCATCAGTATTTGGCAGGTTCAAACATCAAGACCCTAAATCCTAGACATTTAAAGACAGGCTCTAGGCTGGCTGTGGGTTGCACGACCAGAAAGTGTTCGAAACACAAAATCCAAACCCTTATTCCCAGCCTTGGAGACCTAAAATGTAGCCCTTTGGTGATGGGTGCTCTACTGTAGAGGTCCCATTGACGCGATCGGTTGCTCTTGCAGCTGCTGACAGTGCAGTCGAACGCAGCTTCTTCATGGGAGCCCTATGTCCAAAAGTGGGGACTGTATCGGAATGATGTTCATGTACCCCTGCTATTCCCAAGAACTGCTCATTCCAAGAAGCTTCATCAAGTTCAAACTGACGGATTCAATGTGAAAGTAATCCTTGAAGCGCGAGAGAGCTGGAGGGAAAAAACAGGAAGCCTCCGATCCAAAGTGCTGAGTGCGAAAGAATTGGCATCGGACGTAGAGTTTGCTCAATTGGGATGTTTCAGTTGATGTTGTGATTGCCGTGAAGTGGTAGGGAAAAAGTGTCCCCCCCAAGACTAGGCTTCCCGGTATGCAGAGCCTTGCCTTCAGAGCTTTGTGCGAGTCAGGGGGGCATCTCAGGACCCTTCTGCCTCTTTCACACAATTCCGCTGCCAAACTCTCAACCCCAAGCCTAATAGAACTTACGGCTGCAATCGCGAGCGGGTTGCTTGGCCAGTGAGTGTAGTGGTGCCAAAATGAAGCGTTTCAATGAGAGTCAGGGCGACGAGCCAGTCTCAAAAGATGCCACGGAAGAGTCAGGGTGCTGATTTTCTGATACCCTGTGGTTCTTGTCAATTGCGGTCACAGGGTTGCGCTCCCGAATCCAGCGAGACTCCTTTCTGTGGATTCCAGCTGTCAGCTTTTTTAGGAGCCAACTTTCTCCCTCATCCGCGCGGTGACAGTTTTGTCATGTCGCACTGCTGAGAGTCGTATTGCAACGAAGCTGACATTTCCAATCCATTTGAGCCCCCTGCCAGCCAGTGCTTGTGCAGATATCTTCAAGCGACATGGTTTCAAGAGCAGCCGTCCTTCATGAGCAGAAGAACACCTGTGATAAAACGGGTTAAGCGGTGTCATCTCCAGGCTCCTTCTAAAGCGAAAATCCTGCGACAGATCTTGCTCTAATTGCTTTAAGCCTCAAGATCAATCTGGCTGTCTCCAATCTCAGAGTCAGACCCAGCTTAAGTAGCAATCTCCTGACACAATCACGGCTAGCCGCAGGGCCAACAGCTCAGTGCACAGGAAGAGTCACTCCTCCCATTTCTTGCCCTGCAACTGCATCAGCCTGTGTTTCAGCGTGCCCATGCCAAGACGCTGGCTGGGTTTAGCTTTCAAGCTTTGGAGATTGCAATGTGATCTGAGATCCAGGCGTGTTGAGGGGCTGTTCGCCGAGCTTGCAGAGCAGTGCCATGGCACTTCATGGCTTTCTGGCCTTTCTCACGCATGCACGGTTGTTTCGCGACGATGCCGATTCTTGGGCTGTACTTGCTGTTGTGTGCAAGACCTGCTAGATGATACCGAGGGCGGCGTTTTGAATGTGCCCTGTGAGAGTTTGCTGAGCTGAGACAAGGGTTGTGAATTGATGAGTGAGATGCAAGGGTCGATGGTGCCCGTACCGACTCGGCGTAGGACAGTTCGATCTTGGAGCCCGGGGTTAGCCGTATCCAAAGAAGAGGAGTCGCCTTCATAAGGTCCAGCAAGAAGAGATCCCAATTAGTGACAACTTCTTCATGGTTGCAACCAATCAGTTGCACCATGCGGTTTGCTTCCAGCTTACTTGGAGTTGAATTTTTTTGCCCCCTCCCCACCAGGAGTCTGGAAGATAAGGCCTAACTTGCACCTGGACGGCGGTGTACGGCTCTGCACTCACGCAAAGCACCCCATGGATCCCAGTCCAAGCAATGGATTGGTAGCTGCAGAATACTTAAAACTCCCAAACCCTAAGCCTTAAATCCTACCCCCTTTATAGCCTGTACACGTCTGCCTAAGGAGCATTTAATTTCTTCCTGTACTGGGAGCATCTCCAGGTGCCAGATGGCCAGATCCGCCTCAAGATCCTCATGTGGTAGTTTCCCAAAATCAGGGGACCCCAATATAGACCCCAATATACTATAGTCCTTATTAGGGGGACCCCAAAAAAAAGGTACCCCCTAATTTTGGGAAACCCCCATGTTTGCTGACTTGCCACGCGATCTTCTTCATTTTTAGTGCAGGGCGCCTACGTTCGTCTTATACTGTATGGCCGAGCAAGGCTTCAGGGCCTGTCGACTTGCGCAGGAGGGTTTCTTGGCTTGTGGAACACACCTACAGGTCGCGTGCTGGCATAGCTGCGAGAATGTGACCCCTGCCAGCAGGTTTGACTACGCAGTGGCGACTGGCCGAAAGACAATGCAGTTTGTGCGCGGCACATGCCCTCCTGTCCCCCGCCACAGCCTGATTGGCCAAACATCTTTACGCTCACAGCCCTGACGACCCCAGTGAACGGTAGTGAGAGTTGAAAGGCTGCCATCTTCAGCTTGAGAAACGAGTTTTTTTTTGAAATTACCCCTACAAAATCTTTAATGAGGACCGTCCTGATCCCTCCCAACTCACACACGCTGCGACATCTGGCAAAGATGCAAGACCAACATTTGCTCCATGCCTTGTTCGTTGACGTGCCATGGGCTATGTTCGGGATTGTCTTAGAGCAGCAGCAGACACCTTCTCTTTTACAGAAAGGCTATGTCTTCATTGCGGACGCCTCTTCTTGTCTGTGCTGCATGTTTTGCTCGCTTGACACTCCAGAAGAGAGGGTTTTGATACAATGCCAAAAGAAAACATGCCACCTCGATTGTAGCATAAACAGGGTTCGGACGCAGACGCCGGACACGTGGCGGAGGCATAATGATGGCAAAGTCTACCCGGATGAAGCCAATGACGTGCATCCTGAAACCGCAGACCCTAAAGCTTATTCCGATGGTGCAAGCTGCACGCAGCGCAATGGCCGGCCTTATGCCATCAATGCGTTTGAGGTCGCTTGTCGATTGGCTATGTGGCCGTATGTAAATTGAGGGGCTTAGAGGCACACCCTGAGCACATGGTTTCCTTGTGTAAGGATCGCCCGAAAGGCATCACCCGTTTCTGGAAGCGTGTGTGCGCCGTCTCATCTCTTGCTTACTAGTTGGTGCACGAATCTCACTACGAGTCTTCTGCAGGCCCTTTCTCAAGCCTGTTGGTTCTTAGGGTATCTGCGGCATCCTGACGCCATGCTGCTTCAGGGCCAGTTTCGCGGCAATGACTATGGCCCTCACATGGCGCAGTACTACAAGACCGTGGCAAGCTCGCCAGCGATGCAGGCCATGCAGGCCCCAGTTGTGCAGCAGAAGATTCATGCGCACGTGCCGGTGCCTTCCGCCCCCCCGGCCTTCGAGTCGAGCAAGAGGCTGGGAGACAAGGAGGCGTGCAACGATCCGGAAGAAGCCTGTGACGAGGACAAGTTTGGGGAAGAGAACAAGGGCCCTGAGAAGTCTGAGTGTTGGAAGCCCGTTTTGCCGGCAGCGCTCAGTGTCTCGACGTTTCTGGGTGGGGTAGCCGTGAGCCTGGTCCAGATACCCATGTTGACCGAACTGACGGGGTGGCCCTTTGCTGTCCTTTTTGGGATTGCAGTTGCCATCTATGGTGTGACCTTGCTGTGCATGCTGTGGGTGGCCAGGGCTGACCCAGGCCAGGTAACTGACGACGTGGAGGGCGAGCTGCCCAAGCGTACCCACAAGTCGTGGCTGTACCCGAAGCCCGTTCGGCGCTACGACCACTACTGCAGGTGGCTTCAGAATGTGGTTGGCCTGCTGAATCACCGAGAGTTCATGGTGATGCTAATTGGTTTGACGCTGATTGCCACGCTCGGGGTCCTCATTGATCCTTACCTCGTGGTCTTGGCCTATGAAAGGGCCGGAATCCAAATCATCAGAGATGTCGTCCTTCTGTTGCATTGGGTGTACTCTCTGATCTTGCTGTTCTATGAAGGAAAAATCTTCATGATCCACGTGGGGCTGATCTCGAGGAATGAGACGGCACAGGAGTGGAAGCAGAACAAGCACTACGTGGTGCACAACACCTCCAAAGGGGACAACGTCCCGGTAGAGAGCTTGTCGGATTCGGATGAATACAACGAGTTCTTCGACAAGGGAGCCTTCACATACTCGCCTCAAGCCAATTCCTTGGACAAAGGCTGCCCAACGAACTGCTTCAACTTCTGGTGTGAACCCCGATGGCCCGCCGCAGTAAAGGGAGACTTCTGAGCCCTCCGCTGCTCATCCGTCAGCTTCCGCATGGACATCTCCGTGGATAAGAAGAACTGCAGAAATTCGTTCACGACCACCAATTCGCTGCATTATGCCAAAAAGCTGCCTGTCCACGGGCTGAAGCGAGTCACATGCTTCTCTTCTCATCTTGCACGCCTGCGAGCGAACCCCTAAGATGTCTGTTTCTTTTGACAGCTCCGACCTGCCAGGTTCCCAACACATCTCGGCAGCCACCATCTTAGCATGATGTATCCGCTGCTGAATATCAAGGCCGGCAAAAGGGTTGATAGATACTGCAGGTCTAGGGCTTAGGGGTGTAGGCCTCCTTAAGGATTAGGATGTAGGGCTCAGGGGTTTCGTGTCCGGGATGCAGGGAGTGTATGCGGGTTTTAAGCTTACACCTAACGAAGCAGTGGCCACACCGAGTTTGTCTACAGTTGAAGTAACTTTTCTTCAAGGTTTTTGCTGACTGTATATAGGGCTCACTAGGAATAGTGTTGAGCGCAGACCTTTGGTGCCCAAATTGGGGGACCATAGATCAAAATTCTACCATAACTTCAGTTGGATCTACATGCCTCCAACAACCCTGAACCCTCAACTGTAAGCTCTGCACATCCAAAGTCTCCCCGGAAAGCCGAGGGATATCTGATTAAGGCTGCAGCTGGCAGACCTTCCCAGGCTTTATGGTTGACGGTGTAGAGTTGTTTGTATGCCACTACTGTGGCCCGCGGCCGCTTCACCCTGCTACGACGTGTCTAACCAAAGATGACTAAGCCTATCAGTTTAGGGTTTAGGGTGTAGGGATGAGGGATTAGGGTTTTGGGTTTAGGTTCCAGGTTTAGGGTTGAGGGGGTTAGGGTTTGCTCTTGAAGCAAGCTGGTTTCCTTGTAACGGCATGGGTATTTGACGCGAGGCCCCCACATGTGCCCCAATAGCTCAGGAATTTCATGGCAGTGATATCCCAAAGTGCAAGCTCTAGCTCGCGAAGTCGACCTTGGCAGTTCTTACTCAGGTAGCTGTGGAACCTCTTTTTGTGGTTTTCTTTTCCTGAGCATCGACAAGGTCATCTGGAAGGCGCAGAGCCTGACCTACAAGACCTCTTCTACGACTCTCAGCCGGAGGAGCTGCCCTGGATCCGAACGAGGGGTGTGGCTTGGAGTGCCCCAACAACGGGCCGGTGGGCTGTGCGGCCTGTGTTGCTGGTTTCCTCACCTCCAT